AGCATTTCTTTTTTTTTTTTGATCGGATGAGGTGTCTACAGTTATTGGCGGGTTGATGACATTGGTACCTTCGTTTACGTGTTGTGGCGGCTCATACCGCTCAATCACAATCCGGTACGGCGTCTTTTCTTGACGGGTTTCATTTTAATACAGCACTTCACTGGCAACAGCAGATCATCCCGATTTTGGACGGGTGTGACCTCAGGGATAACGGATGGACAGAATGGATGGACGATTCGTTACGATGGATACCCCGCTTCATTATATCGTTCGATCTTTATTCCTGCGTCTGCTGTCTCACTTCCTAGCGTCCTGTTGCATACGCCAACATGGAACTGGTCCCTGGCATACGTCGGTCTGGCTACCGAACGATAAGCCATACTGTCACTGCGCTCACGGTTCAGAACTGATCATCTCATGCAAGTGAGGATAGACGGCGAATAGGAAAATCGGATTCAGAAAAGAAAAAAGAAAGAGAACGTCAAGGGAACTCAGATGGACAAGATGCTGTGTTACTTACTCACTTATCAAGTGGCTTGGTCAACTTCCCACCATTGAATGAGGTCCTCAAAGGGGTGTATAGGTTTAGAGTCATCGATGATGGTCCGGCGTTGGATCTGAAGTATAGGAGAAATGTGTTTAAGAATCAAAGCTTGTAAATGTTTGTTTTAAATTCCATGACTTATGTGCCAAAGTTGCTGTCATGATAACGTTCTCCCAATATTTTTAACCATCATTTGTAATTTCACAATGATGTCTACGTCATCAAAGACTAGCATGAACGCGTAGATATCTGCTCTCAGAGCACGAGGCTCAAACAAAGGGCTTGTTCAGCAGAAACGGCGCATATTTTAAACTCAGTGTCGAAAATGGAACTGGTTTAATATGACAACTTCAGTAGATAGATACATGATAGTAGATGCCTAGATGCCTATATCTCTTACCCATCGTATCTCATAATTCGTAACCATAAAATCGTATCAAGGCACAATGTACTTGAACATCGGTGTCCCGTGAGAAAGCAAGAATGCCTTGAAGCCGTGATCGTTATACAAATGTGAAAGCGATTATGTCGCAATGAGGACCATAATCCTGACTAAACACCTCCGAAATCATCCCTCTCGACTTTCTGTGCCGACCTCTGACTCCAAAGTCTTGCTGCTATCCTCCCAAGCAATGTACCACTGCCTCGTCTCACCCTAGCCGCTGCGATTGAGATATTATCAGGGACATCTGTGATCTCTCGAGGCCGGCTACGAGCTTGGGCCATGAGACGAACAGGTGCGCTGCCGATGGCACCGAGTTTGCGCAGCAGGACACCAAATGAGCGTGTTTGGAGGAAGGTCACGAGGAGCATGAAGGGGACACAGACGAGGATCATCGTCAGAGGAAAACGCCAGTCGGTTGCGGGGACTGTGAAGACCGTCATACCGAAGACAGACTGGTTATTGTTAGTGAAGGCCTGTAAATAAAAAACTTTGCTAACGTACCGTGACAAAAGTAAGTGGCAAGAAGATCATGCTGATCATTGTGAGGACTTTAATGTTGTCGCCCTGTTCAATAGCTCTCCGGCTTTCCTTGATGGAACTTCCACTGAAGAGTTGATCTCGCAAGTTCTCAATCTCCTTACGGGTTCGTTCGTTGCGTTTGAGAACCTCTGTAAGCTCTTGCACAACTTTGTCAAGCTCACAACGCAGTTTAGCCATGTGCTTACTATAGGCAATCCCATCAGGCGAATCAGCCGCGTGATGTGGCCATAGAATTGGGTGGGTGCCGGCCCAGAAGCTGTCGGTAAATGTGTCGATATATGCCGCGATCATTGACTTGATACCAGTATTCACAACGGCAAGGGTGTTGTACGCCCAGAAGTACCTTCGGATGTAGGTGAAGTGCTTGTCCTCAAATAACAGCTTGTCTCTGAGTTTAGGGTCAAACATGAACTCAGTCTGGAGATGATTAGCGTAGCATTGTGGTATGGGGGCTTAGTGAACCTACCGGGGGAGTGATGAGTTTGGTAACTCGCTCATGGAGGATCAGATTTCGCTTTGTTGCATCACGATACTCGGAGATGAGTAGGTCCAGAAACGCATATGGTCCATTGACATATTTCTTCTCCTGGAACTCTGGGCCTCGGACAGTATGAGAATTATCAGGAAAACTCTGGATAGCGAGTAACTGCCATGGACCAAATGTATCGAATAGAATCCCTTCTCGAGCACGCTCTCTTCTCGAACGCATAGGGGGAGCTTTGTGAGAGTCTCCCCCGAGCGATAGAGCCAATACAGAGCCGCATTCAGCGATATCAATATGATCTCCGAGACGACTTTCTGAAGGTCTTTTATCGAAGCGCTGCCAAGGAGCTGGCTCAAGAGGGTGGCTGACAACTGTGTAGTACTTGAATACAAAGAAGAAAGACTTCTGACGAACGTTGGGTGTAGGAGGGGTTGGTGACGCCGAGAGTCTGGCAGTCAGCGGGACCGGCGATGATGGGGCAACGATGGGCGAGTGAGAAGTCGCTTGGGAGGGAGACCTCTCGTAGGCTCTAGTCATGAATGCATGAGTACGGCCACGGTTAGGCTCGTCAGAGAGGAGATGAGTGAGCAGCTCATTCATATCAAAGTGTGAAGACATGGTCCAGTGAAGTGCTGCGAGGATAAGAGGCGTAGGCTCTTGGACGATGCTACAAATGTTAGCCCAGCCCGGCAGGTGATGTACAATGGAAGACGTACGTAATCCGCCCTGTAGACGTGCCGCTTTGGTTGACAACCCTGATTGTTTCCCAAACCGTAGGAGCATCGACATTATCAGCCGGAATCTCGTAGGGGCCTTCACCCGAGTACTTGACATCTGACTGCCCATCCCCATCTCCGTCAGCGCTGAGTTTGGTGAGTTTACAGTTATGGCCAACCTCGTACACTTCAAATGTGGACTGACTATACTGTTCTCTCTCATACGCCGCAAATTCACGGAAGGGTACATCTGTATCCATCTCGGAACGTCGTTTCATGATATCGTCAAGGAGGGAAGCCATCTCGGGGGTGAAATCTTCGGTTTTCAGATGCTGGAGGAGTTGACTATCGGCCCAGTTTGCCTGGCCGAGATGATCCCTGACAATGTTATGGGGGTAGTCCTCGACCTCTCGCGTTGTGGTAGTAGCTGTTGTGTTATCCAGGAGAGGGAGAGGAATGAAGGAAACATCTTCTCATGTGTAAAAACAACGCGATGGCTGCCACTTGGCGAACCCGTGAAATGTTGAGGCTCAGCAGACAAAGATGGTCTTTCTCTTGTGCTCTCAAGAGTTGCGGCCCGCCCTCGCCGGAAGATAGGAGATAAAGAGCCCTCTGTTGCAAACGTTGGGCCAGTGGAAGCTCTCATGGGTGGCGTGTAGGGCTCAGGCATAGAGATGCTGCTGCGAGCATGACTCTCTGCTGTGTCTCGTCTACGAGCGACGAGGCCATCTTGAAGGGTTGTTAGAGCGTGTAGATATTGTTCGCGAAAGTTGTCGGTTGCTCTGACAAGATCATCTAGAGCCTGAGAGGAAGTGTTTGTGGTCATTGATGAGCTTCACGTCACTTGGCTTGACAATGGAAATATTCACATGATATTCTAATACTATAAAAGTCTCTGTCAAGAAAGAAGATGGAGGTGGAAGGTTGAGGGGTATTTCTATTCTTTCAGACTCGAGCCTGATTTCAAGTCATCGGCGGACCCCGATGAATGTTGCGGCTGAGTCCTGCTCGCTCGGTCAACATCCATGGTTAAGGTTGAATAAGCAAAATGAAGGATGGCAGTGAGAGGAAAAGGTAGGGCAAACGAAGATCCCTGAGTGAAGCAAGCAAGATAAGCTACGTCAAGCTCTTATTAGTGCGCCAAGTGACGCGGGCACTAACGATGACTCCGAAGACCAACAAATGTTCGTTCGTCCACATGTCACGCATCCCAAGTCATTGGCATCTGAGACAAGGTACAGCTTTCAACCTTCTCTGAAGGGTCCTGAATAGATCACAACTTGATTATAGGCGATATTCCTCTCAGGGTGCCTTTGATCTGAAGCTCTATACTATGATTCTCGTGAGCATCCCTTGCAGCACCCTACCGTTATAAGTCAATAGGTAACTTCTATCTCGTCAATTTGTGTATCTGTACGCTATTGCTCCATGATAGGGCTGTCAAGAGCTGGCAAGCCTCACTGACCCAATCTCTTGCTGAGACGGGCCCGAATCTTGATTTGAAATGGAGTGAGAGACCAGCCGGGGAATGGAGAATCAGTCCCGTAGGACTCTGATAACGAGGCTGTACTGGAAAAAAAGGCGTTTCGTCGGTCACCAACTCAGTTTGACGTTCGCTTGAAGACGGCCTCAAGCGGTTGTGAACGGAACGCCATGATGGCGGCGATGCGGAATTGGATATAAGGCATCTGCTTACTCTACAAAATTACCTGTAGTTGACTATCTGTCTCCAACATTGTACGTCATGCAGCCATCTCCTCGCACTTAAACCGGGCGACCCTGAACGCGGATGACTGAGAGGGTGTACTATATCGCGGGGGTTAGAGTTTCACAGCATCCACGTGCCGAAATTCATCGTCAGAACCTTAGATTATCGCTAATCAACATGGTGTTGAGCAAATGCAATTACGTTTATCATGTGCCGTTGACCACCTAGTCGACGATTACTGCAATGCATGTACTGCACTGTCTATACTGTTTATTTTAGCCTCACTATACTGGCTGAGATCTGGCTGCTGCATGTCTTGCAATAATAGGGCTTAGTTCATACTCCTACATGTCCAAGCGATAGCCTAATGTGTCTTCTCGACTACCTACCTTAGCTCTATACCCAACCCGCCCGCCTGATAATATCATTCCCTTTCATGTCTTCATAACTCTATAAACAAACAAGTCCTAGCCGGCGTATTAAGACCTCTCAATAGCATTCATTGTCCAATGCTTCGTTCGCATCGCAACCAAATCACACGCAAATATCCTTGATTGGAGTGCTTAGGAAGCGACACTCACGGGCTTGGCGGCTGATGCGGCCGGCTTCTCAGCACTGTCAACCTCCATAGCATCACCATCACCATCGGCCTCAGCCTCAGCCTCAGCCTCGCCCTCTCCTTCCTCCTCCTCCTCAAGCTCCTCCTCACTCTCGCCCTCGATGTCGACACTGCCGTCATCGGACAGCTCCTCCTCATCCTGAGCATTCTCTCCTTCGTTCTCCACACCAGCCATCTCTGAATCCTCTCCGTTGCTGGCCTTGGCCTTGGAGCTAGCCTCAGCCTCGTCAGCTTCAGCGGCTTCCTCCTCCTCAGCCTCTTCAGCACCGTATTCGTCGCCGTCGGCGACAAGATCAGCCTCGGGTTGCTCAGGAGGGTACTCAGCGGGAGCAGATGCCTCGGAGTCCCTGGAGTCGTATTAGCTTGAATACACCATCGCTTGCTGAATTTCTTTTTTTACTTACCACTTGATGGCAAATCGAGTCACTCGGGGCTTCTCAGCCAATACATTGCGCTTCACACGCTCAATAATGGGCTTAGCTGGGGGCTCAGCATTGAGCTCCTCCGAGTCATATTCGTTGTTGACGTAGTAACCGACGCGAATGAACTCACGTCCATCGTAGGCGCAGGTCAGGAGAATAACGGTAACACCGAGAATCTCTGCATCGGGAATTCGTGCGGTTTTGGGAGCATCGGCCTCGAAAATGAATTTGTTGACACCAACGGGGATGGGACCGACGAGAAGGGAGTCGAGTTCTTGGTCGTACTGGTCACTGAGAAGTGTTAGAAGAAGCGGTGTAAGGAGGGGCCTTGATCAAGCTGGTCCATACCTGGTAGCGGATCCAACGTAAGTGAGCTTCCACTCGAGATCTGTTCTCTGTTAGCGCTGTGGTTTTTTATCCTCCCGCAGGCCAAAGTTGCACGAACCCTTCTCTAGCGGCTCGAGGCATTCGAAAGTAATCTCAAACTCGTACTTGTCGGTGAACTTGGCTGGGTTGTTCAGGACATTAACGCCCAAAAGCGAAACGACAGACATTTTGATGAAGACGGGGGGCTTATAAACTGGGTAGGTCGTAATCAGGAGCACAATGCAATGGCAAAAATCGAGACTTTAAAAGAGAAGGGTGAAAAAGAACGAGAGCACGAGTGTCTGGTTCTTTACGAGGTGTGAAGGTTGATGTGGGGAGAAGCGCGATGTGAGATGCAAGACGCAAGAGAAGAGAGAAGAAGAGAGGAATAGAAAGTGGGTGGATGTAGTGGTAGTAGTAGTACCTAGTTGTTTGATGAAAAGCGCCGTACTAGTCTTAACAGCAGTATGCGAGCATGGGTAAAAGAAAACAAGAGCGGATCGCTTTCTGGTTGCGACGGGAGATGACTTGCCCTGGGCGTCAGGTCCAAAATGTGAGGAGCGACAGTGGGACGCGTTAGCGGTCACACCCGCGTAGAGAGGTTGCGTTGGGGACGCGACCTCCCTGAATGGAATTCCAGGAACTCATTTCAGTCATGTGACCTTGACAACTACCTAGACTGTGCATTGTCCAAGGCCCAACAGGGCAGTCATTGAATAATATCTCTTCTTTTGGATAGGTGCTCATATTGTTATTAATTTTCTATAGAGTCTGAGTTCATGCGAGGAGCGATCTGTCATTTCTTCTGACAAGACACCCATACACTTACCTAGGTAGTGCTATCCATTCTTATTGCTCTCATACACAGTAGGCGCCTAACATTTTTTAGATACCTGCATTAAAAGCCTGTTCATCCACCTCTTTAGTGACCCACTAAAGTGCGGCTCTTGGATACCAAGTTCGTTTACCGCCTTAGACATTCTAAGCCCAACCTGGGTTCTGCCGCAACTGCTTTGTTCAAGATTACTGTTCTTTGTTGGAGCTATCAGACTTTGAGGCGCTCGACCAAAACCATCCACGCGCAGCTCGACGCACGACCATTTCCCCAACCCGGCTCGATTGCACGCCTGTCTTTGTATCGCTGTCTTTAATTTTCTCTTTAGGTGCTGAATTCAGACATATATCATCCGGAGCCAGCTGGCGCAGCTCCTGGGGCTTGCCTCGTTCGCGACAGACTCTACTACCCGTTCGTCTCGTATCCTCAAAGATTGAATCATTTTCGACCGGGCCCATCGCACCCCTTCAATCGAGATACCCGTGACTCTACCGAGTACGACCGTTTGCGTATTCTTAATTCTGACCTCCCGACTGCCATTCGCGACTTGGATATTATCTTCTCGTTTCGCGGGTCTTCGCCGACGCGCCTTTCGAAATCGCTTGCTTCTTGATCGAGACTTGGCAGCACGACCTGTTTCTTAAAATCGCAGGATGGCTTCCGAAGGTGCTTCATGGGGAGGAGAGGATACTAGCGCGACGGGTTTTCAAGTTCAGCATAGCGAGGAACAAGTTGATAACTACGCTCAAGACTCTCTTGCTTCTGGTGACGCTGATACAGCAGATAATGGTACAGAAGATGATGGGGGGGAATATGATCCAGAGTCAGTCACCATCGGTACACCTGCGCCGGTTACTGAACAATCTGCGGCCACCGCTCAACGTCAACTTTCCAAGCCCAAGATGTCAGGGGGCTTTATTGTTGAAGCATCCGATGACGAGGATGAGGGCGAAGATGAAGCTGAACAGCCTTCCAATACTGCTCCTCAATCCGAAGAAGTGCCCTCGCTCCCTCATCCTGGCCGTTCCACTGCATCTGATGAACCCGCTCAGCCAGCTCTAACCCATACACCTGTTCCTCCTGCTGTCCCTTCCAATGTGACTCCAGCTTTGGCTGGTCTCGATCCTGTTGCTCTCCTCGAGGCTCGTGTTAAAGAGGACCCTCGTGGGGATATGGATGCTTGGCTTAACTTGATCGCCGACCATAGACGCTCAAGCCGACTTGATCTGGCTCGAAGTACCTATAATCGTTTTCTCGAGATATTTCCACAAGCTGTGAGTGAACCTCATTTCTTCCAGTGATATGTATTGACAACATCTACCAGGCTGACGTCTGGGTTGAATGGATCGAGATGGAGCTTGGTCTCGACAACTTTGTCGATGCTGAACAGCTCTTTGGAAGATGTCTTATGACTGTACCCAATGTCAAGCTGTGGACAGTCTATCTCAACTATATTCGCCGTCGTAACGATCTCAACAATGATCCTTCGGGTCAAGCTCGCCGAACTATTACCCAGTCCTATGAGTTTGTTATCGACAACATTGGTGTGGATCGAGATTCTGGCAATATCTGGCAAGATTATGTCCAGTTCGTCAAGAACGGCCCCGGCCAGATCGGTGGTACAGGTTGGCAGGACCAGCAAAAGATGGATCAATTGCGCAAAGTATATCAACGCGCTATTTCCGTGCCCATGCTGACCGTCAATAATCTCTGGAAGGAGTATGACCAGTTCGAGATGGGACTGAATAAGATGACTGTATGCTTTATTCCTTGGCCTACAACAGCATAAAAGCTAACATTACTAGGGACGCAAGTTCATCCAAGAGCGCTCGCCAGGCTATATGTCGGCCAAGAGTGCCAATATTGCCTTGGACAACATCACTCGGCACCTCAGACGTACTAATCTTCCCCGTTTACCGCCAGCTCCAGGGTTTGATGGGGACCAGGAGTTTAGAGACCAGGCCGAGCTGTGGAAGAAGTGGATCGCGTGGGAGAAAGATGATCCTCTTGTCTTGAAAACCGACGAGCCCAAAACATACAACCAACGGGTACTCTACGTCTACAAGCAAGCGTTGATGGCACTCCGTTTCTGGCCTGAGATCTGGGTTGATGCGGCAGAGTGGTGTTTCCAAAACGACATCCGAGAAAACGACAAAGAGTTGGGCACAGAATTGCTACTTGAAGGCATTCGAGCAAACCGTGAAAGTGTTTTGCTTGCCTTGAAACACGCAGACCACATTGAGGTCAACTATCCTGGCAAAGAAGTCGACAAGGTCGAGTTTGCCCAGGCTGTCCGAAAGCCATACGATGATGTTCTCGAAACATTGTACGAAATGGGCGACAAAGTCAAGGAGCGGGAGAAGTTGGAGGTGTCCACGTTGAGACAAGCCGCTGCACAAGATCTGGTTCAAGCTTCCATCGAACACAATGATGACGACGACGATGAGGAAGGCAGCAAGCCTAAGCGTTCGCCCATGGAAGAACGCATTCTTGCAATCCAGAGGGGATACGCTGCCGAAACACAACTCCTGTCCCGTACGATTTCCTATGTCTGGATTGCTCTTGCAAGGGCCATGCGACGTATTCAAGGCAAAGGCAACCAGTCAGAAGGTGGTTTGCGCAAAGTCTTCACTGATGCCCGCCAGAAGGGACGACTCACAAGCGATGTCTACGTAGCCGTTGCTCTTCTTGAGTCTGTTGTCTACAAAGATCCTGTAGGCGCCAAGATCTTCGAAAGAGGCGCCCGTCTGTTCCCTAACGATGAGATGTTCATGATAGAATACTTGAAGTATCTTCATTCCAAGGATGACACGACTAGTAGGTTTGGAGTACCCAAAGAAGCAACGATTGAAACTAATCATTTATAGATGCGCGAGCCGTGTTCGAGACTTGTGTTACCCGATTGGTTTCTAAATCAGAGACTCTCGCAAAGGCAAAGCCGCTTTACGCGTATTTCCACAAGTACGAATCGCAGTATGGCGAGCTATCGCAAATTTCCAAGCTGGAGGACCGAATGGCGGAACTCTTCCCTGAGGACCCCAAACTGAAGTCCTTTGTTGCCAGATTTTCAACCGACAAGTTTGACCCAGTTGCTGCCCCTATCATAATTTCGAAGGCAGTGCAAATGAGGCCAAAGCAAGTCATGCCCACCGTGGTCGAGCAGCCTATCTCACTACGAAACAGCCCCATGCCAGCGCGACAAGAACAGAGTCCCCGTCCTCAGTATGTTCGGGCAACTGCTTCTCCAAAACGGCCTCTCGCTGTAGACGATGATGAGCTAAACCCCCCCAAACGACTCGCTAGAGGAGTGTCGCCTCTCAAGGGTGCAGCGGGCCGCCGCCTTGACCAGCAGCGCCGGAACCAAGCATCAGCGTTACACAGGGATATCACTTTCCTTCTTAACATCCTCCCCCCTTCTCAAAGCTTTGATGCACAACGCGTTAACCCCATGGCCATGGTCTCTATTCTCCGGGACGTCCAACTTCCTGATGCCGCCACGTTGAAGGCAACAGGCGGTGGCCAGGCACGCTTTGGTAATACCTCCCACACTAGACAACCGTCAGGCGAGTTCGGCAGCAGGCCGCTGAGCCCATATGGTAGAGTGGCATCTGCAGCCGGCGGGTATAGGAACTCGCCGCTGCGGCCAGAGAGTGGAAATACCTTCCAAACCAACCCCTATCCTCCTCCTGACCCGAGCGGCCAACTACCCATATGGCCACAAGTACCTGGTAGCTACGGCGCACCGGCACCAGGTCAGTTTGGAGGATATAGATTTCAATGAGGAATCACTGAAGAGGACGCCAATGATCGATGATAAGGGATCTTGGGCTGTAAACAACCTGATCTAATAATACTGGTGAAAAGGGGTTCTTGGATGACGTTGAGGGCCGTACTGAGAGGGATTGCCTTTGCCTCGCGCGTTATGCATGGTATGGCGTTTGGGGGGATCAGACATCAGAAGTGGTATTTCGTTTGTTGAGAGGATGAGATGCGGCAAGATTATCTGCCTACTCAATTGGTATCAAACAGCTTCAATAACCTTTTATAATTGACTCGAGTCCTGGAATATGTACGTGCTTTGTGCTTGTTCTTGTGCTTATGCTTTGTGATTATTGTATCGTTTGTCGAAGTTTTGGCCGTGCTGCGGCTGCAAACTGAGAATTGATGCCACAAGGGCGGATTGCTACATATCGAGCTGCATTTACCCGTATACCAAATACGGTGTCTCCAATTCTGTTTTCCGCGGCCCGCCACAATATTATATTGTTTGACAACGAATACACTGTTTAGTCCAACCAGTTGGGTTTTGGCTTTGACCAGATCGTTGGACAATCAAACACTCAACTGACACTC